TCTGCACCGCATCAGCTGTCATCACCAAACTCAAAGCAGCATTTGTGCGCCATGGCATACCTGAGCGTGTCATCAGCGACAACAGCCCTTGTTACAGCACAGAGGAGTTTCACAGATTTGCAGTGGTATGGGATTTCAAGCATATTACCACAAGCCCAAGATACCCTCAAAGCAACGGCCTAGCAGAGAAAACTGTTCAAACGGCAAAGCGCATTCTAGGAAAAGTGAAAGCCGCTTGCTCAATAGCCAATTAGCCAGTCACAACAGGAACAATCTGGTTATACCACAAGATTTGGCCGTGCAATTAAGCCTAGACAAATTCCTGACCTATAATCACAAGACTCCTTAGTCACGCAGAACAAAACCACATCTGCATGTTCATGTCATGTTTATATGAAGTATTCATATTATACTGTTCTGAAATACACAAGCTGGAAAGTTGTGTTAAGTTAATCTACCACGCTGGTATCCAGATGCATTCGAAAGTGTTTCTTTACCCTTACTATAACATATGCATTTGATTTATCCACTGAAAGACTTTCATTTACATCAAGAGTTGTTAACAATTTAAGCCTAATCTGATGTTGTTGAATTATGCTTAAAACTTGTTTTACATTTGAGTTGCATAAAAAAAAAAAGTCTCAGTTAGACACTTAAGCCCTATTCGCACACGAGGTTAGGATTATCTGGAGACCTTGTGTGATTTTGAAATTACCCCCCCACATCCAATGCAGCTCCATTCTTAGCGAAAGATGGATAAAAAGGCGCACAGCAAACAAAAACCTCGAAAAATTATATGCGACCCGCGAAATGCTGGCCGAATCGCAGAGATGCCGATTCGCACGGGACTAATTTTATCACAGGACCTCGGTGTTCGGCGAAATATGGTAGGTCATTTGCGGGGGAATTTTTATTTTACAAATTACAGACATGGCCGATTTGCACGGGATTAAGATCACAGACAACCTCCACAATTATTACAAATGACTGGAGGTCACCAGGTACCTCGGTGTTCGACGAAATACAGTAGGTCATTTGCGGGGGAATTTTTACTTTACAAATTACAGACATGGCCGATTCGCACGGGATTAAGATCACAGACAACCTCCACAATTATTACAAATGACTGGAGGTCACCAGGTAATACTAATCCTGTGCGAATAGGGCTTTAGATGTATGTCACATGTTTTTTTTAGAAGGGAGATGTAACATCCTGATGTTAACAGTGCCTTGGCTACACTGTGTATCTCATAATCTTGTACTGCAGTTATATCTGATCAAATGCACATTATTATTCTTTAGCTTGGGTTAAACAAATCAATTTTGCTTGGTTGGAACAGCAGCTACGCTAATTATGTCTCTATTTGTTTCTCTGTTTTTGCCACTAGGATTTACACAAGCTTCAGTCTGGATCCAGAACACCTGAGAAGAGATGATGCCAACCCCTCAGAGGACCTCAGATGATGCCAACCCTGAAACAACATACAGAACTACCACATTTTGCTATAAGTTTGATTGTATCATATAATAATTGCTGTTAATAGTGTTCATCGTCTGTTTGATTACGTCTTTAATTGATATTTCCATACATTTCTGCCATATGTACATTAACTGACAGTCACCACTGATAAGCTATAACTACATATATTGTAGAAACTTAATTTTCTGTTAAGTTGCTTTGCAATGATTTGTATCATGAAAAGCGCTATACAAATAAACTTGAATTGAATTTACATGCCTTGCGTTAACATATAACATCTGACATCAGTCAGATGTGTTTTGTTTTTAACTTTCCTTTTTTTTTTAAATAAATTTACGAAGTTGTGACAGTTCTGTTTTTGCTTTGTCATTATGTTGTATGGAGTGTAGATTAATGTGGGGGGGAAAAAGTAATTTAAAGCAGTTTAACATAAGGCAGCAACATAACAAAATGTGAAAAATTAATACTTTTTATAGGCACTGTAGATCATTTTCTAAACATGTCAGATAAATGCGCCAAATAAAGAAACGAAAAAAATTTTTATTTTAACATTGATGTAATATTTTCAGTATGAGGCACTCTCTTTTTCTAGTTGTACTAAATATCAGTAATGCAAAAAGCTTTAAATGCTACAGACATTAACTGTGGAATGATAGAACAGCTTTTTTATTATTGGTATTGTGTTAACGTTTCAGAATTAATTTAGTTACAGTAAAATCATGTAACCATAGATAAACCCAAAGTAACACCTCTCACAAACAAATATGATGATATGGGAAAAAAAAAAGAGACTATTACACCGAAATGAGAAACAAGCAGTGGTGGGCCGGCAGGGCCAGCAAAGCCTTCTCTGCTGGTCTAAACACGATCAGAACCACTGATTTAGGTTATTTGCGCGATATAAAGCCAGGTTTAAGTTTCCGTAAGAATATCTCAGTTTCCCGAGTGGAGCTGTATGAACCGGTCTTGTCCTCCGGCTGCAGCGCTGCTGGCAGAGGCAGACCGGCGGGGAGACTCGTGGAAGAAGAGATGGATTAATTCATGTAGGACGCCACTGAAGGCCTAGGTGTAAAATGCACGGCCCGCCACTGGAAACAAGACATGCCTTAAGTTTTTTAAAGTTTTCATAATGGAAGAAAAAGAATAACAAACAAAACCAAAATTATATAGTAAACATGTAGACATTAACAGACAATATCCTTGACCCATGTCTCTTCTATTAATTGTTCAATATCAATCAGAGTTGTGTTGACAGTTTCTCCAGGGCTTTAATCTCACTAGAGACATCTAGAGAGAGAAAGAGAGATAAAACACATTACAGGATATTGTATGTGTATATTTTAGTCGTACTTGATCATTTACAGTGGCCCCACAAAGTGTTGTACCCATATGGTCACTCTTATCAAAGTTCACACTGCATTAGAAATCATAAAAATAACAAAATGAGTGTTATCTGAAAACAAATGTCAGTATTTGTCTAGATTTTGAACAATAGCCTGCATGAATTTGTTGTTTTAAAATTTAAAACAGATTTGTTGTAATATTTTATCATTTACATTTTTTACATGTTTTATTTTCTATAAAATAAATGCTACTTGTTTAATGTTTTGAACCAAGGTTTAATGTTGGTTTTCATTCAGAAATATTTTTACTGAGTCCCCTAATTATCCTTCTTAAGGTCCATGATTGCAAAAGATTATGTATTACATATTCTCTTAATAAATGTAACAATACAATGTTCTTTCTTACCCAATAGGGTGATGTTGCTTGCTTGTGCAAATGAATGTTGAATTGATGTCTTTATCTCAGATTTAAGGCCTTCCTTTATGTCGCCCTTTGCAAGAAATATAAAAGATAAAATAAATTTTAGAAAGAAACAGTACACCGTGTGTGTGTGTGTGTGTGTGTGTGTGTGTGTACAGGTTTATATATCCTGGTGGGGACTTAAACCTGAATACACACTCATGGGGACTCGTGTCATGGTGGGGACCTAAATTGAAGTCCCCATGGGTACAAAAGCTTATAAATAATACAGAATTCGTTTTTTTGAGAAAGTAAAAATGCTGAAAGTTTCCTGTGACAGGTAGGTTTAGGTGTAGGGCGATAGAAAATACGGTTTGTACAGTATAAAAACAATTACGCCTACGGAGAGTCCCTACAAGGTGTGTGTTGTGTGTGTGTGTGTGTGTGTGTGTGTGTGTGTGTGTGTAACACTGATTGTCCTCATAATCCAGGGTT